CTGAGTGAAGCTCTTCCTGGGGACAATGTGGGTTTCAATGTCAAGAACGTGTCTGTCAAAGAGGTTCGACGTGGCAATGTTGCTGGTGACAGTAAAAATGACCCACCAATGGAAGCAGTTGGCTTCACTGCTCAGGTGATTATCCTGAACCATCCAGGTCAAATCAGTGCTGGCTGTGCCCCTGTACTGGACTGTCACACAGCTCACATTGCTTGCAAGTTTGCTGAGCTGAAGGAAAAGATTGATCGCCGTTCTGGTAAAAAGCTGGAAGATGGCCCTACATTCTTGAAATCTGGTGATGCTGCCACTGTTGATATGGTTCCTGGCAAGCCCATGTGTGTTGAGAGCTTCTCTGACTGTCTTCCTCTGGGTCATCTTGTTGTTCGTGATATGAGAAAGACAATTGCTGTGGGTGTCATCAAAGCCGTGGACAAGAAGGCTGCTGGAGCTGGCAAGGTCACCAAGTCTGCCCAGAAAGCTCAGAAGGCTAAATAAATATCCCTAATTCCTGCCACCCCAGTCTTAATCAGTGGTGGAAGAACAGTCTCAGAACTGTTTGTCTCAATTGGCCATCTAAGGTTAGTAGTAGAAGACTGGCTAATGATAACAACGCATTGTAAAACCTTCAGAAGGAAAGGAAATGTTTCATGGATGATTTTAGTTTTTTGTGTGTGGCAGTTTGAAGTTGTTAGTTTTTAAAATTAGTACTTTTTTTTTTTTGAGAGGTTTTTGCTATAGGGTGTATGTGCTCACCAGAAAGACAGAGAAAGACAGAGACAGAAAGTGAGAAATCAACCCCTGGGGGGATGGCCATGCTGCAATCCCTTCTCCTCCACTCTCCTCTCAGGATCTTGTGCATGCACACGTGCCTGGTGTGAGTTTAAGCCACTGGGTCCAGGACTCAAACTGCAGTCGACTACATGGGAGTCAGCAACATAGCCATTAGGCCAACTGCTGGTCCCTAAAATCAGTACTTTTTTTATGGAAACAGCTTGGCCAAAATCTGTCACAGAATTTTGAGACCCACTAAAACAAAGTTTAATGAGAAACCTGTGTCTTCTTTTGGTCAACAATGAGACTGTAGAAAAATGTTCAGGCAAAAAGTTGCATTTGTAATCATTCTTGTATTAAGAACCTGTTGGAAATTTTAAAAGAATATAATCATTTAGATCTTTTTTTTTTTTCTGGGTTGAGAGTTGAATCATTCTTCCATTCTTCTCCTGTAATCTTGGGCATGCATACATAAAAGTCCAGTATGATATTCAAGATGCTGGGTCTGGGGCTCGAACCACATTCTGCTGTGTGGGAGTCCCGTGCCTTAACCACTATGCCACCTGCTGGCCCAGATTAATTTATTTGCTTAACATATTTGCAGGATATGTTAAAAGTTCCTCAGGGAGAAGAACAATAATATAGATCAGAAATTTAGATCCACATGGCAAAAAGAATATTGGAGAAGGCATAACTCAAGATAAAATAACTTAGAAGATTTCTCTTATTCTGCCTTTATTTATTTATTTATTTATTTATTTATTTATTTTTGATTGTTCAAACAAATTCACTTAATATTGGTTAACTACAAAATTTCATAGGCAATACGTGGCCATTGTTACAGGATTTGGCCTTCTAAAGGAATTATATAAACAGATATTCTGCTTTTCTGTTAAGATTCTGCTTTCTTAGAAAGAGGTGAGAAATAATGAAACTAACTCCCAACCCAGACAGACTGCCTATGAAGAGGAGCATAGGCAGTCTGTCTGAAGAGACTAAGAACAATAAAGATGTATAATACAAATGACAAGTAGCAGAAATGTTAAGAGGATGACACCACAAATACTAAAGATACTAAAAGAATAATAAAAGAATATTATGAGTTGGGACCAGCAGTTAGCGTAATGGCTATGTCACTGAACTCCCATGTAGCCGATCACAGTTCAAGTCCAGGTCCCGGTGGCTTACACTCACACTGGGTGTGTGTGCATGCATGCCCAAGATCCCAAGAGGAGAATGGAGGAGAAAGGATTGTGGCGTGGCCATCCCCCCTAGGGGATGATTTCTCACTTTCTGTCTCTCTGTCTCTCTCTGTGTTTCTGGCAAATGCATGTGCCCTATAGGAAAAAAAAAAAACTCTCCAAAAAAAAAACAAAACAATATTATGAGCAACCTTATGCCAGTAAGTTGGGTTATTTAGCTCCAATGGACAAAATCCCTACACATCACCACCTAACAGTGTTTCATAAAAGAACAAACAAAACAAAGAACACGTGAAGATTCCTATCCTATTAAAGAAAACAAATTTGAAACCAAAAATCTTTACAAAATGAAGGTTTCAAGACTAGAGACAGATCAAGTCTATCAAATATTTAGGGAAGAAATATTAAGATCCTAAACACTCTCTTTTAGACATTCCGATGTCACTGTCATAACACAGCAAAATAAAGTTGTTACACAGAAAGAAAGCAATTTATCATAAAATATGCAAAAACACGTTTTAAAAATTTAAAAACCATACTTATCAATATATAATAAATAGTAACACATCATGAAAAAGTGTGCTTTATATCAGGGATATAAGATTGGCTTAACACTGAAAACTCAATCAACCGTTCCACTTCCTTGAGAACAAGAAACTCTCTTGAGAGGCAGGAGGAGAAGGCAGCTTGTTCAGAAGCCTAACTCCATGAAGGCATAAATAAACTTGGCCAGCTGCAGCTCCCACTCTACGACAGTTTCTTCTGGCCCTTAGGATAAGCAGTTAAAGGAGAATCTTAACAGTGTCTACTTCCTTTTTCTTCTCTAAGACTACGATTCTTACCACTGGGTCCTTATGCACCAGTTTAAAGAGGCTTTAAAAGTCCAAGGTAGAGCCAGGAGGTGGTGTGGTGGTTAAGGTCAAGACTCCCACATGGAGGATCTACATTCAAGTCCTGGACCCAGCGGCTCGAAAGTCACAGGGGGCACATGTGCTTGTGTGCTCAGAATCCCAGGAGGAAAATGGAGAAGAAGAGATTAGGGCATGGCCATTTGCCCTTGGGGTTAATTTTTCACTTTTCTGCTCTCTGTCTTTCCCCCTCCAGCAAGGGGACATGCCCTACAGAAAAAACTTAAAAACCAAACCAAAACAAAACAAAACAAAACCCTCAAGGTAGTATTTTCATCAATAGCGATTTCATAGCAGACGTTTTCCCAACCAGGAGGTGCATCAAGTACTGGTAATAACAGATGCCTATACCAATATCTCTTCCCACCAGGCCACTGTGAAAACAGAAGGAGGAGGGTATTTGGATGCTTCACTTTACTTCCCATATATTAAAGTACCATTGGAGGGAATGCAAGCTTCTAGTGAAGTAGGTGTAAGTCTGCTAAGTAAGGTGATTCTAATGTGAGAACTCTATTCCCTTGCTGGTATTTGGAAAAAAAAAAAAAAAAAAGAGCAGTTTTTTTAGCCGCCTTTTTTTTTTTTTTTTCCTTCGTTAGGCTACACCTGACTCCCAGAGAGAGGGAGATAGAAACAGTGAGAAAGAAAGTGAGAAATCACCCCCTAGGAGGGATGGCCCTGTGGCAATGCCTTTTCCTCTATTCTCCAGGAATTTGGGGCATGCACACAGACTTACTAGGCTTGATTTTCAAGTCTCCAGGTCCCTTGTGCCATAGGGGAGTCCAGTGACCTAGCCACCCTGCCATCTGCTGACCCTAAAAAAAAAATTGAAATATGATTAGCAGTGATTAGCGGCTTCCTCCAGAGTGAGGGAGCCTTGGATGTGGGGTGGCCAGGTCAGCCAGCCAGAGAGCTGGGCCCCCAGCCTCCTCCTCCGTGGCCTGGTAGGCTGGGACCTCTCTTTGCTGCCAAACCACAGACATGTCCCACCCTCTGGCAGCATGGGGTGGATCCGGAGAATAACTTCGGAAATGGAATCTTCTGGAAGCCAGATTTTTGTCCCGCATTTTCAGGGGCACAGAATTTCTGCCTCCTGCCCTCTCAAACATCCTGACCTGCTGACTCTGATGTCAAGACGTGCCTGACCTACTGCTTCTGCACTGGGCTCTTCCCCGGCTCTACAGACGGCACTATTGCGGTGGATTTCCGAGCAAGAGTGGTGGAGACAGATGGGGAGTGCATGGGGATCCCGTTATGGCGCACAAAGGACAAGAACATTCAGAAACAGCGTGATGCAGCACTACTACAGAAATGTACCTGCTGTGGTCTTCATGTACGATAGGACCAACACGGCTAGTTTCCTAGGTAGAAGAATGCAAACTGCATTTGCCAGCCAATGATACACCACAGATTCTGGTTGAAAGCAAATGAGACTTGAGAAGTCCCATACAGGTACCCATAGATTTGGCACAGAAATTTGCTGACACACACAGTAGGCCTTTATTCAATACCTCTGCTAAAAGCCCCAACAATGACCATGTGGAAGCTATATTTATAACCTTGACTCGTAAGCTAAAGGGTCAAAAGCCATTAATGCTTAGTCAGCCCCCTGATAATGAAATTAAACCCTAAGCCTGAATCAAACCTACAATGACGCTGGTGCTAAGTCTTGATGGTACTATCTAGTTTTGACTAAAGAAATACTTTTGAAATAGCCTATTTCCTGCTACCAAGGGGATCAGCCTTTGGTGAATTTAAGCTGTATAATCAGATCCAGTGTCTCTTCCTCTACCTTCAACCTGTCAGTTTAATGACTAAATGCTGAAGCAAGAAATCAGTTTCCACTGGATTATATAGGGAAGGTGTAACTCTAATTGCAATGCTTCTACCTGTATTTCTGTACTTGTATTGTGTCATATCCATTTTTTTAATGTTTAAATAATATGGCCACAACAATTATTTCTTCTCAATATAAAAAATAAATTAGATAGTGAAAAAATAGAACTTTGCTGTAAGTTTTTATTTTGATTAAGACATTTAGAGAAGGAAAACTGTTCATTTCCTCTGACTCACAGAATCGAAACCCAAGAATGTTGAAGGGAGGAGTCTCAATGTCGTTTCATAACTCTGTCTCACTGTGGGACAGCTCAGGATGAGATAACCAGAACTAGTCAAGTGTAGAAACTCATCTTTGAAAATAACTTATATTCTTGGCTTTTTGGGATTAGCTTTGTGTAGTTCAGTTTCTAAGAGCTTCACTGACTTATCTTCTTACTCAAACAAAACAAACAGCAATTCCTTCTTGCTAAAGATCTCCAAATTTGGATGACTGTTGAAGAAATTTCCAGGGAGGTGAGTCCTATGAGCATTTTTTGCAGAGAAGATCCAGATACCTGCTTGAAATCTTCTGCATCATAAGGGAGAAAATCTAGCACTGGTTCTTCTGGGTGGTGAGTCATTTTGGAATTACTTTCAGCTGTTTCAAAAGTTTTGATTTATTTCTTTCTGGTGACAAAGTATTGTGGAGACGGAGGTCAATTATAAACACGTTTCTGTTCCTACTTTTAAAATATTTTAAAGATCTTTCTGTTTAGCTTGGTACAATATTTCATGTGTGTGTGAACAGAATGTAAGGGCTTTTTTTTGGGGGGGGGCTGAGAGAGAGGTTTTTGATATAGGGTGCATGGGCTTTCCAAAAAGACAGAGAGAGAGACAGACAGAAAGCGAGAAATCACCCCCCAGGGGGGATGGTCACGCAGCAATCCCTTCTCTTCTATTCTCCTCTCGGAATCTTGGGCACGCACACACACATGCCGGCTTGAGTTTACGCCACCAGTTTTGGGACTCCAACCACGATCGACTACATGGGAGTCCAGCGACATAGCCATTACTGCGACTAGCCAACTGCTGGTCCCCAGAATGTAAGGTTTTAAATGTTGATTTCAGAATTTTATTATGTTTTAGAAAAACTTTCTTAATAAAGCTTGTCAATAATGTTTAAATTTTCAAACTCTTATATAATTTGTTTGCTTCCTTCATTTAATAATTAAAGCAAGTACTGACATCTCCTACCATAAAATTGTGCTTTTCTTTGTAGTTCTTTAAAATTAATATGTTATATATAAATATATGCATATTTATGTAAGTATACATGTGTGTATATGTGTGTGAGAAAGAAATAGTATACTAAGTAATACTATTTATAGTAATAGCAAAATACATTTATTATCATTAAACAAATCTATAATTAAGACTTTTCCCAGTAATTGAACCTTTCTCCATTATATGGTATCTGAAATATGCTGTCTTAAGGTATATTTAAAGTTATACTAACATACATAAACTCTTTTATTTAGCTATTCCTTTCAGAATAATTTTTTTAATATTCTCACTTTTAAGTAATCTTTTGTTAACAACTGTAGGTAGATTTCTTAAATTAAATTTGATGAAAGTTGTAATTTTACCAGTTAGACCCTTTCTGTGTATACTGATAATTAACATATTAATTTTTTGCTAAGTTTAATATACACTACAATATTCTCCTCACTGTCTTGCTTTTCATCTTCTCTCTACCAATAAAGACAAATACATTAGTGAACTGTCATATTCTTTTTGTCCCTCTCTCCACCATGTTGAGATACTTTCTGTAACTATTTTCTTAATCAGAGCTTATGACATAGAACTCATAATCAAGTTATTTTTTTTCACTCTTTCTTCCCTTTTGGTCTGTTGTATTTCTTGACTTTATTTTCTTATCAAATATTGCCTCTATACATGTTGGCTGTGGGGCTTTGTCTTGCAAAACTTGTGAGGCCTCGAATATAAGAAGACAGTGTTTGAGACTCTCCTGCTTAAATATCTCTTGTCAGCTCAGTCGATGACCTGGTAGTTAAAGTGTTTAGATTACATAGCTGACCACACGGTTTGGGTTCTGGACCCAGCAGCTTAAGAAACACACCAGGCATAAGTGTGTGCATGTCCAAAATCCCAAAAAGAGAGACCAAAGGAAGAGAAGGGATAAAGGCATGACCAAACCTCATGGGGATGCTTGCTCACTTTCTCTTTCTGTCTCTCTCTGGTGAGTGGACATGCTCTCTGGCAATATATATTTATATATACATATATATAGGTATATGTGTGTGTGTATATATATATATATATATATATATATA